ACTCATCTGGGTTCCTCTGCTCAGGTAAGATAGTACACGGGCAGGGCAGGAGAGAAGAAACCTCTTGGCAAGTCATAGTAACTCAGTCTATTCTGAAACGACTTCCACCAAGGGGGTGGGAGGAGAGGTATGGGTTGAGAGAAGTGGTTAGATTTTGGATTTATTTTGAATATGGACCCTACTGAACTTGTTGCTGGATTATACATGGGGTGTGAGATAAAGAGATTTATAAAAAATAACTCCAAAGCTTTGCACTAAGCAACTAACACAATGGAGCTCATATTTACTAAGAGGGGAAAGACCTCAAGAAAACCAGGTTTTGGAAAGGAGTGTAATAGAAATGTGGTCAAGTTTAATATATTAAGTTGCCTGCTCTCTATCTGCCTCCACATCAAAATGGAGACCCATGTCCAATGGGCAGTGGGATGCTTGGAGAGGTCATGGGAGGTTCACTGATAAAACCTAAGGAGTGAATATTTAGATAGAGAAGAAAGAGACATGAGGATGAGCCGTAGGAGCATCCAACCTTTATAGTTTGGGGAAACAAAGATGAGAATCAGCAAAAGAGACTATAATAGAGCGGCTGTTGGAGAAGGAGGACCAAGAGGGAAAGGGGAGGTGGAAAGCAGTTAAAGAAGATGTTCTAAGAACAGAGAAATAGTCAAAGAAAATTAAAAAGCTCCAACCTAGTATGGAGTTACATGATTGACAGGTAGAGCAACACTGATGTTAAATTCTTACGCTTTAAATTTACTGAGAAACATCTGATAATTCAGATGTCTCTAAGAAAACAAATGTTCAAATAGGCATTTTCCCTCTAATAATTCAGTTACATCTATAATGCTTAGTTCACAGATTATTGGCATACTATCAAGTTGAAATGGCTTACCAAGAAAACTCTAATTTAATATTACTTATTAAATGCCATTTTCACTTTGCAACAATGGTTATACTTGAAATATTAATTATACGAGGCAAACATTTCATTTAAGTTCTATTATTTTTAATTTTATTTTGAAATCATAGCATGGTGTTAATACTTCAAATTCTAACATTAGCTTGGCTTATGAATGGCAGCACAATCTAACTTATACAAAACAGACCTCTTTATTTTTTTGTCCCAGGATCATAAAGATAAATAAATGGGCTTTTCCTTCTTCCCGGCTACGGAAGAGTCGTGAGACTTCTGGATCTGAGTGGATAGGCTCCTTGGGATTTTCTGGAGATTCAGAGCTTTGGTCTGGAAAGATTCCAGCCTCATTTAGTTTCATCACTCGTGTCTCCAGTAAGGAAAGGACGGCTCCAGAAATTGCAAGAGTGGAGAGTGGTCGTAATTGTATGACCGGGTATCTCAGTTTGCTGGAGTCAAAAGGGAGTCCTGGGACGTGGGAATGTCAGTTTGATAACCAGGACTGAGGGGTTTCAGGAACCTTATTTGCTAAAGCCAGAGAAATCCTGGGAGACTGTGACTAGTTAGTTACCCCACATGTGAGACTGAAACTTTTAACAGGTTCTCAGAGAGACAGAGACCCATGTCTCCCTCCCGCTGGGGTCCCAGAAGTGGCAAACTTCACTGTGTGGTTATCTAAGCCTTGGAGATAGCAGGACAGGTCTAAGTGTTCCAGCCCGAGGTCCTCAGAGAGAAAACTGTGAGATGCATCCCACCCAAACCAGAGCAGGAACACAAGGGGAGGGCAAGGGTGAAGACAATGACCACGGCAAGGCAGGACCGGGTCCTCCCTTTATTCACCACACAGAACTCATCCGGGGTCCCCCTACAGTCCAAATTGGGAGGAGCTTTTTAAAATAAACCCATAGTGGACTTCTTGTCTACTTTAATGAGTGAGAGGAGCTTGAACGGGAAATAATTTCACTTAGGAAGATGAGAAATGGGACTTTTTTTAATACTTTAGAGTGGAGCACATTGTTGACCATTTCACGTGCTTGCCAATGTTCCTTACAGAATTGTCTTATGTATTTAGGATCCAACGTGAAACATATGCACACTTCCAATAGGATTAGTGGAGAAGATTTCTTTACAAGGCTTGGATCTGGAGAATCCCAGGCAGAAAGAAGTGTGGTTACCAGGAGCTGGTTACAGAAATCTGGAACAGGACAGGTATGGACATAGCTTCTTGAGAAAAGTAGTGAGTTTTGATGGACGGACACCGCCAACCCCAGGGAACTTGGCAGGGAGGGAACAGGGCCCCTCAGTAGACTGACCACACTCTCCTCATCATCTCTCACCTCCTGCCAGAGCTCCCTATTGGATGAACCCACCTAGGGAACAGAGGACCCTTATAGTCCTTTCAAGTCCATCACTAAGATCACAGAGTAGATTGAGAAATGACAGAGATCAGATCTAAAATAGCAAGGGAAAATATCCAACAAAGAATGTAGAATTTTTCAAATGGAAAGGTCCTTAGAAATTGGTGGAATAGGTTCAATTCATAAATGAAGCAACAAGGACAGAAACAGAAGGTCGGTCTCAAATCTTTAAAGGTCAAGATAGAAACCTGAATTTTCTGAGTCACAGTCCAGGCTGTTTTTCTACATTATGCCAAAAAAAAAATGTTTTCATACCTTACTTTCATTTTTTCTTGCAGAAACCTATTCACTAAAAAAGCCTCAGAGTCAATGTCATATTTTTCATCCCTAAAATGGTATATCTCAAAGTATATACAAGACTTGGGGAATTTATTAATAGTAATGGGGGAGGGAAGGAATTATATCCAAGTGTTACATTAAACTACATGAAATTGCCAACATTCAATCCCTTTTTATCTATAAAAATGACAATTTCAGGGGCTGGCCAGGTGGCATAGTGGTTAAGTTCGTGAGCTCCACTTCACCGGCCCAGGGTTGTATGGCTTTGGATCCCAGGCACAGACCTAGGCCACTTGTCGAGCCACACTGTGGTGGCAACCCACATAAAATAAAGGAAGATTGGCACAAATGTTAGCTCAGTGACAATCTTTCTCTCAAAAGAAAAAAAAAAGAGAGAGAATCATGACAGAACATTGAAAAAGAAGTGTTTGCTGGGTTCCACAAGAATTCAAAAGGGAAGATTTTTCAAAGGCCAGGAACACAACTAAACATCCTCTAACCACACGATCCAGCAATCACATTCCTTAGTATCTACCCCAATGAACTGAAAATTGGCGTCCACACAAAAACCTGCACAAGCAAGTTTATAGCAGCTTTTCTTCAAAAACCTGGAAGCAATCACGACGTCCTTTGGTAGGTGAACAGATAAATAAACTGTGGTCCATCCAGACAATGGAATAGCATTCAGTGCTAACAAGAAATGAGCTGTCAGCCATGAAAAGACATAGGGGAATCTTAAATGCATATGACTAAGTGAAGGAAGCCAGTCTGAAAAATTGTATGATTCCAACTCTATGACATTCTGGAAAAGGAAAAACTATGGAGACGGTAAAGACATCAGTGGTTTCCAGGGGTTAGGGAGGAAGGAGGGATGAATAGGTAGAGCACAGAGGATTTTTAGGGCAGTGAATTATTCTGTATGATAGCGTAATGATGGATACATGTCATCATACATTTGTCCAAACCCATAGAATGTACAAGACCAAGAATGAACCCTAACGTAATCTATGAATTCTGAGTGAGGATGATGTGCCTGTGTGCCATCATCAGTTGTGACAAAGGTACTATCCAGTGGGGATGCTCATAGTAGGGGAAGCTGGGCATGTGTGGGGGCAGCACGTACAGGGGAAAGCTCTATATTTTCTGCTCAGTCTTGCTGTGAACCTAAAGTTGCTCTGAAAAATAAAGTCTATTTAAAAAAAAAGGCCAGGAGGGTATAAAATGGGTAGGAGAGGAAAACGAACATAACCTCATAACATGATCAACTTTTCTGTTTTGCCAAATAAAGATGGTACATTACACATCGACCATCTACTCTCACCCTCATTTCTGAAGATAAAGGACATTTGTGCCTCACAAAAGGGAGCAAAAACAATTTACTATTGGAAAAAAGAACAGCTTTTTCCTAAGGCAGGTTAGCTGGAGGAAACCTACCTTAAATATTTTTGCTGTAGACCAGTGAAAATTTTTATCATGTACAGGTACTATTCCATGAGCACATGTGTGCAAATTACTGTCTCAAAGAGCAATGAAACCAGAGGTAAGAAACTGTGCAGACTATCACCTCAATTTTATTAGCAACCTCTTAAAGCATTAAATTGACCCGAGTCCATTTTCTTACGTAAATCCTAAATACCGCTCACCAGTGACCTGCCAAGAGATAAATTGAGTCGGAATGTGTTTATGTGCAAATTCCACTTGTTTTATGATGACAGCTAACCCTGTGTGCTACCAAATTATATGACACCTCTGCGCAGTGCAAGTTGAAGGGTACTCAGAGGTTCAATTGCCACAAAATATCTCCACTCCTTTCTCCTTGGGAAACCGTTCATTAGAAATGGGCTAGACAGCAAAGATGGGACTATATTCAGGAGACAGTAGTTCGACTGTGCAGATATGGTGCCCATTAGTAATGCTTTTCAGATGACTGTCTCATATGAACTCCCAAAACCTCAAATCAAGGAAGGAAGATGTCCAGGGCACCTCTGTGCAAGGAGGTTGAGAGTAGAGGATGAAAACACATCTGATTAGCAGCTGGAGCATTCAGACCTCATGGCACAGTCAATCTAGGGTAATTAATTAGAAAGGGAGCCTGCGTTGATGCCAGGTGTGGGGGGGCACGAAGACAAGCTTGTATGTTTGAGTAGAGTCCCACCTCTGTCTTGGACTCAAGTTCAGCTGATTGATTCAAGCCTTTAAAATAATATATTTTTTCATATAACTAGGGAGACCTATTGCCCATCCCTAATAATGAACAGAATTTCCTAAGACAAACCATGCCCTTAATACACATTTTCAAAATTTCAGATAACACTTAACAAGAATCACATCTTTGTAGGGAGAGGCTGAAGAACAGCGATGCCCAGATGAATGAGAAGAAAACCGGCACCTACTCGAGAACTGGATGGAGAAGCCCGACTTGCTGATGAAGAAGTCACTGTCAAACTGCAGCGTGAGCGAGTTGAAGGTGCTGTGAATGTCCTCCGGGAGCGCAGAACCGCTCCACTCCTTCAGCAAGATGTCGCTGTCCACGGGCCCATCCCAGACCTTCAGGATATCATGAGCCATCTCAGTGTCAAACACGATGAAATGAAGGCTGCAAAGAGAGAGCACAGCTGCACGTTCACTCCAGATAAACCTTTCCGTTCAATGAACACATCCTAAGCACAAAAGTCTGATGCACTGAGCTCATTTCATTTGCACAAAACCTCTCCAAAGTCTGTTCTACTGTTATCTGACAATTATGGATGAGGGGTTCGAGCCTCATAGAAATGAATTCACTTGTGCAAATTAGAATATAGCAGAACTTACTTCCACCTGTGATGGATGCAAGGAGATACTGAGCTATATGGTGAGCTATGTATGTAAGGATGAAACAGTTCCTTTGGAGACTGTTAGCTCTTTTTATCATTCAAAGCATTTTAGGGCACGCAAATCAAAGACAAGTTTGACATGGCTTTGTTTTAAGCTAATCAAGGTCAGATTTTTAATGTATAGGTGTCAGTGTTATTCTTGAAATGCCCACTAGGTGGTAGCATCCATACCAAGAGAAAAGATGCAAAGATGCTATCTACAGCAGGAAAATATTGTCTAGCTGTACCTGAGTGATGTAATCTCATATTGTATTTGCGTCTATAAATTTTATTTTCAGAAAAAACTACACTATTTGAAATACCAGCAGGAAAGCAGAAGTGCGTAATATGAACTCCTGTCTTTAAAATATTTTAACATACTTTCATCAGATTTACACATCATTTCCAGAGCAACTTAAAAATCTCTACGTCTGAGAAAGCTCACTTTCAGAGCAGCAGCAGACCTGTTGTCCTATGTATGGCAATTTAGACAGATAAAAGATTTGCCAAAATGCCAACAAAAATCTGTATTTCCTGAATTGTTGATTTATAGTTTTTTATTTACTGCTTCTTGCACAAAGTTGTAAAGGAGATAAAAATCACAATGGTGGACATATGAAAAACTGCACACAAACACTAATTATTTAATTTGAGCATATCATATAGTCAAAGAAAATATCTACCTCACCCTGCAGAAAGTATAAAATGTGTAGTATATTTTTTAAATGTTCATTATGAAATACTATTAAGATAGAGAAAGGTACAGAATATGGCAGACACTTCTATACCCACCACCACCAATGTTAACTCTTGCCCTATTTCCTTCAGATCTTTTTAAAAAATGATGTCTTTCAGATGTAGTCATGCTCCCCTCCTCTGCACTTAGTCATTTCTTCCTCCTCTCACCCCACATTCTGATATTGTGATGGATTACTCACATTTACATTTTCATAATTTTTATGTGCCTATGTGCGCATATAGATCCCCAAACAATATATACTACTATTTTCCGTGTTTAACAACAATTACATGATAGATAACATTTTGGCACGAATGTGCTTACATCATTTTCAAGTTTCTTTTTATATTCATCCTTATGATGTAAAATTCCTCTGTACTGAAAAATGTAGATTTTGTTAATTCGCTTTAAAAGCATGAGTAAATGCTTCGTTCTTCTAGTCCTCTACTAAAAGATAGTTAGCGTCTACATTTCATTATGACAGATGGTGTTGCAATGAACACCCCCATGGACTCATTGTAGGATGTCTCTAGTTTGTTCCATTCGATGTGAGGGAAGAGTTAAGCCAAGCAGAACCTCTACACTAAAACCAACCTCAACAAAGCATTTCATATAACCTAACTTAAGACAGACAAGAAACCTATTAACCTTAAAAGAAAAATGAGTCAAAATGGATTTGACTCATTGAAATTAAGAACCTGTGTTTATGAAAAGACATCCTTGTGAGACTGAAAAGATAGACCACAGAGTATAAGAATATGTGTTAAATAGATAATCAATATAGTTTGCATTCAAAATATATAAAAACTATACACAAATCAATAAGTAAAAGAGATATTCCAGTATGGAAAAAATGGGCAAAAGACTTCAACCGGCAATACATAAAAGAGGATATTGAAAAGGCTAATAAATCCAGAAAAAAGTGTTGACCTTGATCGGTCATCAGGGAAATGCAAATTAAGACTGCATGGAATGGCTACAATGAACAAGACAGTCAAAGCCAAGTGTAGTTGGGAGTGGAGGACCTGGAGATCATCTACACCGTGATGAGAGTGAAGACGTGCATGACCTCTTTGGAAAACTGTTTGACAATGTCTCTCATAGCTGTCCAAAGTGATCTACTAATAGAATATGACTGCAATCAAAATCCTAGGAAGTCACCATTACCCAGAAATTCTAGTGCTGGGTAAATCCCCAAGAGAAAAACATACGTACAAATAATACACGAAAGCATATAGACACGACACCATTTGCAATAACGCCAAACCTGCTAAAAACAATCCACCTGCCCACCAACACCCAGAATGAATAAATAAACTGTGGTGCTTTCATGAGGAATAATCTACCCATGTCAATGGGAGTGAAGGTTGAAGAAATCAAGACACAAAACTAATCACACTGTATAATTCCATTTTACGTAAAGTTCAAATTAGGCAAAACTCATCTGAGGTCAGGACAGTGACTACCCCTGAGAACACATAATTCAAATGGAGCTCAAAGGGTCCATCTTGGGTTCTGATGACATTCTGTTTCTCTGCTGGTTACACAAGGGTGTTCTTTTGTGAACAAGCCATCCACTTATCATTTGTGCAGTTTTATGTATGCATGTTACATGTTAATGGGAAGCTGACATAGAGAAACAAACCTGCCCTGAGTTCTGCCATTTTGGAAAATGTCTCATGACTCCAACAGAAAATATAACAAAATATAAATACAGATAAAGTAACATCCATTTAAAAAAAATACCAAAAGTCAATATGCCCATAGACACTATAACACTAAGTAGGGAAAGTTTAAAAATTGAGTAAAATATAGTATCATCCCTAAGGAACTGATGGTCATTTCAGACACAGGCACATGAGAAAATATAACCCAACACATTCAATTGCAATGCACAGTGTCACAAGCTCTAGCAGGTATGAGGAAAGCTTCAGGTGAGCACAGAAGGGGAGGGGTCCAATTCTGCCTTCTGATGGCTGGGACAGGTCTTGTCAGGCAGAGAGAGATAAGGAAGGGGGCTTCCAGCAAACCTGTGGATGGAGGATTCCTCCACCATCCTGTGATGAGACAGGAAGTGACAAAACAAATAAATATATAAATGCATCACAAATGTCAAAATGTAACAGTTACAAACAAGTATAACAAAGAAAATGTAAAGATTTTTTGTTTCCTACCAGATTGGTGAAGATTAAAAAGACTGGTTTCAGGGACAATGTAGAAATTCTATCTTTTCACATATTGTTGGAGGCCATATCTATTCTTTTTAAAAGCAATTTGGTAATGGCTATAAAAATTTAAATGTGCATCGACAGCAAGTCCAGCTCTAGAAATTCATCATAAAAAGTATCCTCGAGGAGATATATTGGGAGGATGGTAGCTTTGCTGATAACTGAAAAATTGAAAACAACCTAAATATCTCAACAGGGTATAATTTAAATAAATTATGGTGCATTCAGGCAATGGAATATTATTCAACGACTAAATAGAATGAGGTGGAATTACAAGAAAGGACATAAAACTTGACCATGTTAATTGACTAAAAAAAATCTTCAACATAATACTATGGCATAATACTATTTTTGGAAAAATAATTAAATAAATAGGTAAACAAACAAATCATATTTTACACATTTGTGTTTGCATTGAGAAATTATAAAAATATACACCAAATTTCCAACTGTAATAATCTTTAGTATCTAGAATTACAGCAAACTACTTTTCAAGGTTTTTATTTTTCTGCAACACTTTCTAGCACTTCAAAAAAAAGGGAAAACATAACTTTGAATGCCATGCCAATGAGTTTGAATTTATTTTGCACTTAATGAGCAGACAAAATATTTTTCTAAGTAGGCGAGTGAAAGGATCAGCTTTGATTTGCAAAAAAGATTTGCATTAAGACATAAAAATGTTTCAACCATTTGACCTAAAAGATTTCCTAGGGATTTATTCCAAAATGTTAGTTATAAATATTAGCAAATCTTTACTTGCAATGCTCTTTGCCATAAGATTATGTATGATATCAAAAATTAGAAATAGAAATAACCAAGAAGAGACACAATATTTAATTATACACCTACACACTATAGAATATGCATAGGTATGTACAAGAATTTCTCAACATGCTAACAATGATGTCTGGTAGGGGGTTAATGCATGTTTTTTTAATATACTTTTTCAAAATATCTATATACACTTTCACTTTACAGCCATACAAAATAAATTTTATATAAATTTTCTTTTCATAAATATAATAAAATAGTTAATAAATGAAAATATATAAATGCATATATAATACAAAAATAAATATATAATACAAACTATATATAATGTAATATAAAAATATTTAGTAAAGACAATAACACATGTTCTTTAGAGTGGTCATGTTGGATGAGAGAAAGCCCTGTAGGATGTCAGTTAACAGGCAGAGTGAATTCTGCGGGTCTGGACAAGGGAAGTAGCTGCAGTGAGGGGTGGAGGTGGTACCTGGGAGGCTGCAGATGTGAATTAATGAGACGTGATGATCATGTGACTGTGGGAGGGAGAGAAGCTTGTGATACGAAGAAGTTTGCTTTGATGTGTTGATACATGGTTAAGACATCAACAAGGATAATAAATGTTGAGTCCAGAGAAGAAAATACCTTATTTTCAGATGGGATCATAAGAATGACATTTTTGTCGAGGGGTTAACATTTTAACTGGGTCCTAAAAGATGAGAAGAATCCAGAGGTGAGGCATGGAGGAGAAATTGGGAGACCACAGGTCAAGAGAGAGAGCTGGGATCGCAGAGATTGGGATCAGAGACTCACCAGTGCTTCATCTGTGCTGAAACATAACGTCCCTGTGGGTAGTTGGAGATAAATTTGTAAAGGAGAGAGTATTACAGTTCTGGCTAAGGAGCTGATATTTGCTGATTAGCAATGGGGGTGTCTGAGAGATTGAGAGGGGTGAGGACAGATTTGGAAAGGTCAGTTGGGAGAAGATTAAAGGAAGAGAAAAATAATGTAG